GAGGAGGAGTAGAAGAAGGGGGAGGGGAGAGAGAATCCTCAAGGAGACTCCATTCTGAGTGCAGAGCCTAATGTGGGGCTCGATCCCAAGATCCTGAGATCATGACCTGAGCTGAAATCAAGAGTCAGATGCTGGGGTTGGCTCAGTGGTTGAGCGTCTGTCTGCCTTTGGCTCAGATCATGATACTGGGGTCCTGGGATTGAGGGTGAGGCTAGCACACGTTGAATGCCCTGCGGGGAGCCTGCTTCTCCCTCTGCCTATGTCTCTGCCTCTCTCTCTATGTCTCTCGTGAATAAATGAATAAAATATTTTTTAAGAATCCTTAAAAAGGGATCCCTGGGTGGCGCAGCGGTTTGGCGCCTGCCTGTGGCTCAGGGCGCGATCCTGGAGACTCGGGATCAAATCCCATATCGGGCTCCCGGTGCATGGAGCCTGCTTCTCCCTCTGCCTGTGTCTCTGCCTCTCTCTCTCTCTCTCTCTCTCTGTCTCTATGAATGAATAAATAAAATCTTAAAAAAAAAAAAAGAATCCTTAAAAAAAAGAGTCAGATGCTTAACCTACTGAGCCACCAGGCGTGCCTTAGTTTCCTCTTGACTGTGACAGTTTCTAAGACTTTCCATGTGTTTGCATGTGTGTGTTTAATGACCTTGGCACTTTTGAGGGCAACTGGTTAGTATTTTGTAGACTGTTTCTCAATTAGGATTTGTTCGTTTGCTCATGATTAGGTGGGGTCCACGGGCTTTAGGGGGAAGACAACAGAGGTTAAGTGCCATGTTTGTCATATCGCTCATCATTGTTGATGCCGACCTGACTGAGGTAGTATTTGGCAGATTTTCCACTGTTAAGTGGAATCTCCTTCCACTCCTTCCTTTAATCTCCTTCCTTTATTCCTCTGTCTCCTGTGTGTTAACCACGTTTATAGTGTCTTTTTTTTTTATGGTCTTTTCAGACAGAAGGTTTACATATTCTGTTTCTTTAGAGCTGGAAGGATCTTCATCAGGGGACAGCATCAGGGGCACCAGCACATCTGATGTAGTGAGTGCCCTTGGAGCATCGAACCCTGGGCTAAGAACTTCCACACCTGTCTCACTGACCCCTGAGGACAACCCATAATGTTGGTCCCTTTATTGTGTCCATTTTGTAGAAAGAAAGTGGAGTCTGCCTGCCATGAGTCACAGCAGAGCCAGCCCAGGTGGCAAAGTCAGGATTTATACCTGGGTCTGTCTGACACTGGATGTAACTGTCTTTTGTTTTTTTTTTTTTTTAAGTTTCTTTAGGGGCGCCTGGGTGACTCAGTTTGTTAAGTGTCTGCCTTCAGCTCAGGTCATGATCCTGGGGTCCTGGATTGAATCCTCATTGAGCTCCCTGCTCAGCAGGGAGTCTGCTTCTCCCTCCGCCTGCTTGTGATCTCTCTCTCGAATAAATAAACAAAAACAAAATCTTAAAAAAAAAAAAGTAAAATGTATTTATTTTTAGTAATCTCTACACCCAGTGTGGGGCTTGAACTCGAGATCAAGAGTCACATGCTCTTCTGATGGAGCCAGCCAGGCGCCCCTGGACATAAGTGCTCAAGTGTAGAAACCAAGGTCCAGAGAGATGGTGCTTATCTGAGCCCCCGCAGTGGGTCGGTGGCCTTGCCCAGGCCCTCCCACTGCCAGGCCACCTCTGACCCCAGTGAATCAGCAGCTAGTTCTCAGCCAGGGAGCCTGCCCTGCCCTCAGCCCCACCCCAAGCCACCCCCTCCTGAGCTGCCTCCAGTGCGTGTCCTTTGGCCACTGCGGCTTCTTGCACCCACAGGGGAAGGGACCCAGACTTTGCAACAAATAAACACCGCCTACAAATTTCTAAATATACAGAGATAAGTGTTCCTTTCCACCTCAGCTGGTCCTGGCTGGAACTCCAAACATCCCACCTGGCTTCTGCCCCTCCAGGGGTCAGATTCTGGGTCTTCGGTTGTCCTAAGGATGGCACGTGTCCTTTGCTGTGCGGAAACCTGCCCTGTGGGGATATCTCCACCATCAACATCAACAAATATAATAGCTGTAGTAGTTCTCCACTCCCCCTGCTTCAATTCAGGGCTGCTCTTGCTTCATCTGCATTCCTGTCCATATCCTTCACCTTTAAAGCAAATCCCAGATGATGCATCATTTCATCCACAAGAAGCAAGAATAATCTAAAGGATGAGGAGTTTTTCATTAATATAATAGTATAGTTTTCATGCCCGCCTCCCAGGAATAGTTCTGTAACACCATCAAATTGTCTGGTCAACATTCAAAGTGCCAAATATTTCCTAAAGAATTTCCTTAAAAAAAAAAGTTTGAATTAGTATCCAAATAAGGTTAATACACTGTGATTGGCTAATGTGTTAGGTTTCTTTTACTCTAGAGGTCCCTTTCATATCTCTTGTTTTCTTTACAACTTCTTTTTTGAAAAAAAGCTTGGCCGGTCCTTTAGGGATCACTATAGCCTGGATTTTGCTGATTGCAGCCCTGCGGTGTAATATAACATGTTTCTCTGTTCCCAAGGGGATCTTGTAAATTCAGAGTTGGATCTAGAAGTATAATAAGATGCAGGCTCAACTTTTATTTTTTGGCAAGATTGTTTCATAGGTGGTACTGTTTCTTCCATCAGGAGACACATACTTTCCGATTGCCTCTCCTTTTGCAAAGTTATCATATTGCTTTACTTTAAAAAATTCTTATTTTGGAAAAAATTCAGACCTGTGGAAAGTTGCAAGGATGATACACCTTCACCTTGATTTACCAGTTTTTGCCACACTGATTTTGTCATTCACACATACACATACATTTATACCCACACCTACATACACATTATTTGAGAATGGGGTACAAGTGTTATGCTTCTTCACCCCCAAATGCTTCCACTTGTGTCTCCGGAGAGCTCTCACAACCATCTAAAAGAAAAGCAGTTTCTCTCTATATTCACAACACTTCTGACACCAAACGTGTGGATTTTCCCTCACATTCAACAATCCACCAACTTTCGATACCAACTAGGTGTCCTACAATTCGGTTCTCACACTAACCACTTGGATTTAGCATAGACCCCACAGGCAATAGGTTCAATTCTACATTGTCTCCATTTTAGAAGCCAATCACAGAGCAATGCTGGATGGCTCAGTGTCTGCCTTCCGCTCAGGATTTGATCCTGGGTCTGGGATTGAGTCCTGCATCAGGTTGGTTCCCTGCAGGGAGCCTGCTTCTTTGTGTCTCTCATGAATAAACAAATAAAATCTTAAAAAAAAAAAAAAAAAAAAGAAAGCCAGTCATGGTTGTTACCTGCTTCTGATTGACCAGTTATAAATCAGGGGTTCCTAGACCTCCTTTTCAAATTCAATAGTTTGCTGGAAAGGCTCAGAGAACTAAGGGAAACACTCTGTTTGCCAGTTTATTGCTGCAGATATAATAAGGGATACAGATGAACAGCCAAATGGAAGAGAAGCTTGGGGCAAAGTATGTGTAAGGGATGTGGAAATTCCATGCCCTCTCCAGAACCACCCCTCCCAGTACCTTGGTGTGTTCACCAACCAGGAAGTTCCCCGAATCCCATTGTTTAGAATTTTTATGGAGGCTCCATTACATAAAACAATTGATTAAATCATTCACCATTGATGATTTAACTCAATCTCCAGCCCCCTTCTGCCCCAGAGGTCCAGAGGTGCAACTGGAAATTCCAACCGTCTGATCACAGGGCCTTTTCCTCTGACAACCAACTCTTCCCCCAGCTTCCATGTCTCCTAGTTAGCACAAACTTGGAATGTGGTTGAAAGGGGGCTTATTATGAATAGCAAAAGATGATCTACCACCCACCCAGAGAAGTGGGATCCAGAGAAGATTCCCACTAACAACTCTGAGGCTGAGTAGAGTGGTGAGTTCCCTTTTCTCCACATCATTGCCAACATTTATTTCTTTTCTTTTTGCTAACAGCCATTGCCAACAAGTGTGAGGTGACATCTTATTGTGGTGGGTTTTTTAAAATTTTTAAGCCTTTATTTATTTATTTGAGAGAGAGAGACAGGGAGTGAGAGAAAGAGCATGGGTTGGGGAGAGGGGCAGAGGCAGAAGCAGACTCCCCACTGAGCTGGGAATCTGACCCGAGGCTCCATCCCAGGACCCCAGGATGACCTGAGCTGAAGGCAGATGCCCAACCAATTGAGCCACCCAGGCACCCCTTCATTGGGGTTTTGATTTGTATTGCCCTGACAATGGGTGATGTCCAGCAGCTTTTCTTGTACCTCTTGGGCATCTGTATGTCTTCTGTGGGAAAAAATTGATTCAGATCCTCTGCCCATTTCTTAATGAGATTGTGTTTTTATCAAAACAAAACAAAAAAAACAAACAAACAAAAAAAAGAGGGATCCCTGGGTGGCGCAGCGGTTTGGCGCCTGCCTTTGGCCCAGGGCGCGATCCTGGAAATCCGGGATCGAATCCCACGTCGGGCTCCTGGTGCATGGAGCCTGCTTCTCCTTTTGCCTGTGTCTCTGCCTCTCTCTCTCTCTCTCTCTCTCTCTCTCTCTCTCTCTCTCTCTCTGTGACTATCATAAATAAATAAAAATTAAAAAAAGATATTGTGTTTTTGCTATCGAGCTGCATCAGTTCTTTATACATTTTGAATATCAATCCCTTATCAGAGATAGATTTGCATATATTTTCTCCCATTCCATTTTCATTTTACCCAGGTGTCCCCATCAACAACTATTAATTGAGCACCCACCATGCATAATGTATTGGGGGGACAGCAGGACAGAAAGAATATAAAGTTCCTGACCTGTGGCGGGCGGGCCGGTGGCGCGGGGCCTGGCGGGAGGGGCGGCCCTCCCCGGCGCCCAGCCCCGGAAACACCGCCGAGCCCACGCTCCGAGCCGGCCGAAGCGTCGCCGCCGCCGCCGCCGCCGCCGCCGCCGCCGCCGCCGCCGCCGCCACCGCCGCCACCGCCACCAACGCCACCACCACCGCCACCACCACCCCCCTCCCCCGCCATCCACAGTCATGCCGAAGCACGAGTTCTCTGTGGACATGGCCTGTGAAGGATGCTCTAACGCCGTCAGGCGGGTGCTCAACAAGCTGGGAGGAGTTGAGTTTGACATTGACCTGCCCAACAAGAAGGTCTGCATCAACTCTGAGCACAGCGTGGACATTCTGCTGGAGACCCTGGAGAAAACAGGAAAGGCCGTTTCCTACCTCGGCCCCAAGTAGTGAGGGCCTGGACCCCTGAGCCCATGATGGACCAAAGGGAGCAGGACGCTGATCCTCTCCTGCCTTCCAGAGAGACCTGGGGCCTGGCAGTCCTGCTCAGCGATGGCAGTTCCTGACAGAGACCCTCACTTGCCCCGCTCCTCCCTAGCTTCCCTGTAATAAAGTTGAGCCGCTTTTGCTGGGGAAAAAAAAAAAGTTCCTGACTCATAAAGCTGAATTACTAATGGCAGAGAGAATAGGAGTAAGAAAACATGTTGGCCAGAATAAGTGGGTAAGGTGCAGAGAGGAAGGATGAGAAGAGGAGAGTTGTTTTAAATTAGCAAAGTCAGGAAATTCCTCTGTGATGAGGCAATCAATAAGCCAAGATTGAGGGACGCCTGGGTGGCTAAGTGGTTGAGCATCTGCCTTTGGCTCAGGTTGTGATCCTGAGGTCCCAGAATCAAGTCCCACATCAGGATCCCTGCATGGAGCCTGCTTCTCCCTCTGCCTGTGTCTCTGCCTCTCTCTCTCTCTCTCTCATGAATAAATAAAGAAAATCTTAAAAAACAACAACAACAACAACAAAAAACAGATTGCAAGGAAGTAAGGTAGGTATTGCAGGAAAACTTTGCAGGTGGAGTGAACAGTAAATGTAAAAGCCCTGAGGTGGGATAGTGTGTCAATATGCTTAAGGAACAGCAAGGAAATTGTTGTGATTGCAGGTGAGAGACAAGGTGAGGGGAGGCCTCTGATGAGGTTGGAAAGGTAGCCATATGGTGTTGGGTGGTGTATGCCATGAGATTTGAAGTGCATAAGCAGGGAAGCCATTTCTGAGTTTTGAGAAGAGTGCTAGGATCTGACTTTAGCTTTAGAGTCATAATCCCGGACAAACGTGGAAAGTAGATGGCAAGGGGCTGAGTTGGAAGTGGGCTACCAGATAGGAAAGCACAGACATAGTCCTAATGAGAGGGGATGGTGACTTAGCTCAGGGCTTTGGTACTAAAATGGAAGGCAAGTTCTCAGAATTTGGATGAACTTTGAAGATGAGGCCAACAAGATTAGCTAGTGGAAGTGGCATGGGGAGAGTGGGGGATAAGCTGTAAAGGTTAATTTCATGCATAATTTGATTGGGCTATGGAAGGCCCAGACATTTGATTAAACATTATTCAGAGTGCATCTGTGAGGATGTTTCCGGATGAGATTAACATTTGAACTGGTAGACTTAGTACAGCTTGCTCTCCCCAGTGTAGGTGGGCCTCATCTGATCAGTTGAAGGTATGAAAAGAACAAAATGTGGAGTGAGGCAGAATTCACTCTCTTTACCCACCTGTCTTTGAGCTGGGACATTGGTTTCCTACAGGCTTTGGACTTAGATCCAGACTTGGACTGGAACTTACTCTATTAGCTCTGCTGGGTCTGCAGTTTGCCAACTGTGCACTTAGCCTCTTAATGAAACAATTTCTATAGTAAATCTGTATGTATATATGTCTCACACTGGTTCTGTTTCTCTGGTGGACTCTGACTGATATGCTGAGCAACAAGCTTTCTGGTCCTGCCTATGGAAAGCTTGGAGTTGTCAGGCTGGACCAGATGACTGGGAAAAGGTTTGGCACATGTAAGGGGGTGGGGGCTGTGTTACACGGGGGGCGGGGGGGCATTGTGTGACCTTGGGAAATTGACTATTTCCTATAAAAGCTTTATGTTTGAGTTGGAGAATTCATCCTGTACCATGTGATTCCCAGAAAGACAACTCAGACCTGACCAGTCAGAGCCTTACATTACCTGTCATAGTGACTGGTTCAAGGATGAGCCTGTGGAGAGAGATAAGCATTCTTTCCCTGTGGGCTTTTGGATATAAGGGCTGGGAGCTGTTGCAGATCCATGAGGAGATCATGAAGTGAGAATTAATCTGAGAGAGAGATGGAGAAAGGGAGAGGGAGATAATGCAGGTCCTAGGGATGGCTTTGAGCCCCCGAGCAAGCTGTACCTGAAGCCAGTCTATGTCTAAACTTTTCAGTTATGTATACCAACATATTCTTTTCTCCCTTAAACTAGTTTGGGTTGAGTTTCTTGTTAATTGAAACAGAAAGAGCTGTACTTGGAAAACCATCCAATCCTTTCATTTTCCAGATTTAAAAAAAGGTAAAACCCCTAAAAGATGGAGGATTTCCCAGAGGTCACACGATGAGTGAGCAAATGGGTAACTGAGTCCCTTGAGCCAAGCAACCAAATCCCTTCTTGATGTCTCTGAAGATCCAGGATTCTTGGTTGGGAATAGGCTGCCCCAGCCCCCATTCCAGGAATACAGTCTCTATTGTGGAGCACCTGGGAAATCTGACCAGGAGGAGTGTCCTCTCTCAGGGACTCCACTGGCTGCAGGGAGCCCACTGGGCAGGCTCCAGCTCACTTAAGCTCCCCATAGAACCAATCCCCGGTGCCCTTCTGCTGTAGGAAGGTGAAGGGGCAGACATTGGGAACAGTTTTGGATTCTAGCCTTCCAATCATCCATAGCCTATGGATATTTAAGATATGCACACTGACTAGTCACTGTGTCTGATGTCTGTACTCTGAGAGGCAGCAACTGTGCCAGCAAAGATGCAGAGGTGGGTTACTTGCCTCCAGGGTGGAGGTGAGAACGGAAGTAAGAGGAAGATGTGGAAAGATTGAGAGGGTGTCCAGTGCCAAGGGCAGAAGCAGGGGCCCAGACCTGTAGCCAGCCTCCTTGGCACCCATCCTTACCCACTCATCCACCCCCAGCTCTCAGGGCTGAAGCCTGCCCTGGGAAGGGGAAGGCCAAGCACCCCTCCTGCTAGGAGCTACTAGCTGAGATGGTGGAATCCAGCAAAGGAAAGAAGACAAAAGGTGGAGCTAAGCCAAAGTGCATGTGGGGACCTGGGCCTAACAGGTGAGATAGGATGTGAAATATAGAGTGCTCAGCCCGGGTCATCTCACTGGGTGTGACCCATTCAAGCCCATCTTTCCATCAGGGCCTCAAAACTCTCATTTGTAAAATGGCAACACAATTCATCTGCACTCCGCCCAGAGGGTTCCCACCACGCTCTGGGCTGGAATGGTCACAGGGAATCTTTAAGCTATCTTTCTTCCTTTGTTACTGAAAACCCTGTGACAGCTCCCTGGGTGAAGTGCCATCCCCAGTCCTTTGAGCCTTGTCCCCTGTGGACCTGTCCTTGCCTTCCCCACTCCTACTCATTCCCCAGGAAAACTGAATGAGGTATGCCTGGTTCTCCTCATACTCCAGCTATGCCACATCCCCATGTCCTTGCCCATGCTCTTCCCTCTGCCTGGCACACCCTTCCCAACCTTCCACTGTGGGCAAGCATACTTGCTCTGCTGTCCGGTCCTCAAAAAGCCTTCTCTGACACCCACCCTGCAAGAGCTAACCTCACCCTTCTCTGGGTACACCCACTCCCTGAGCCACCTCCTGGAATGCAGGTTCATTTATGTGTTTGTCACTGTGGGGAATTCCAGGGGCTGTGCATGTTATCCTGTCTGAAGTCTCTACCAGAGCAGGGCTCTGAGTGTTGGCTGAACTAACTGCTTGTGTCGAGCTCAGAGAAGGGAGATTGGGCCTTGTGGGGGGTGGGGCAGGGAGGTTCAGTGACAACCACAGACAGTGCAGGGTGAGGAGAGGCCTTCTTCCCACGCCATGTCTGCATTGATGCTAGAGGACAGACAGTGTCCTGGGAGGCCTGGGGGCAGCTGTCTGGTCTGCGGCTGGGCCCACTTTCCTGGATTCCAATGCCCACGGCCCTGCCAAGGCCCGGCCAGGCCAAGGTGACCTGAGGACACATTGGGCTTTGAGCGCCAGGCTTCCTGAGGTTCTCACTGAATGGGCACTTCTGTGCATTGGCCCTGGGTCAGTGCATGTGTGCCTCGGCCCATCTCGTCCCCAACAAACTGCAAGTCTGATGCTATTATTAGCACCCCCATTTCCCAGGGGAGGCTACTGAGGCTCAGAGAAGGGACCCACCCAGGGTCACATAAGGTGAATGTTCTGGACCTGGCTATTAAGAACTGAGGAACAGGGATGCCAGTGGTTGAGCATCTGCCTTTGGCTCAGGTTGTGATCCTGGGGTCCTGGAATCAAGTTCCATATCAGGCTCCTCACAGAGAGCCTGCTTCTCCCTCTGCCTGTATCTCTGCCTCTCTCTCTGTGTCTCTCATGAATAAATAGATAAAATCTTAAAAAAAAACCAAAAAACTGAGGACCAAACTCTCCAAAGGCTTTACATGCATTAATGTGGAAGAAATAGGGATCCCTGGGTGGTGCAGCAGTTTGGCGCCTGCCTTTGGCCCAGGGCGCGATCCTGGAGACCCAGGATCGAATCCCGCATCGGGCTCCCAGTGTGTGGAGCCTGCTTCTCCTTCTGCCTGTGTCTCTGCCTCTCTCTCTCTCTGTGTGTGACTATCATAAAAAATAAAAAAAAAAATCGTTTGTAAAAAAAAATGTGGAAGAAATAAAACAACCTTGTGAGGAGGGACCAGGTTTATATTTATTGAACAGATGAGACCAAACTGCTCTGAGTGCCCTTGCAGCTGGGTTGGCTGTGCTTGCTCTGAGAGGTGCTTGGGGACACGATGTTTCCCGCCTGCCCTGCTGCCTTCCCCCTTAGTACAACCAAGTGGCCCCATTCCACCTGCAGGATCTGCCCTCCCTCTTCCTTCCCCAGAGGACAACCTCTTCCCATCCAGCATGGCTGCAGGCTGCAGGAAGCTGGGGAAGATGTCCAGCCAAGCCCAGAGTGTGCACTGGTTCAGGACTCAAGGCCTCCTGCTTGATCGGCCTCATGAGCTCCTACTCCATTCTGCATTGAAACAGAACAGCTGGCCATCTGTCTGTCTGCTCATCTGTCCCCCTCTCAAGCAGGACTGTGAGCTTGAGGGCAGAAGTCACATGGAAGGAGCAAGACTTGATAAACCACGAGATCTCCTGTCCTGGAAGCATGCACAGAGGGGCAGGATGTTGAGCAGGCAGTGGGTTGAAGGGTGTCAGACTCCTATAGCTCCTGGCTCTCAGCCCCCATGGCAGGGGAAAGGCCTGGGAGGCTCTGCCCTTGTGGGCATCAGATACAGAACACAGGTCTCTATGTGATCTTTGGGCTCATGCTGGCCCTTAGAGAGCCTGGGGCTTTTGTGCTGGCTGGGTCATCTCTCCACACAGGTCACCGCTACCATGCATATCTTGGAGGCCTCCAAGGGAGCCACCTCCTTCCATTCAGATCCACAATGTCAGCAACGTCCTCGGAGGTCTGCTTTCTTGCTGGCTTGCTTGCTGGCCCACCTGGAAGCAACCTTAGACCCCCTCTTTCTCTTTCTCACCCTGTTTGAACCCAAGCCCCTGCCGAGGCTCCAGCCCAGCTCCCAGCTCCATCCCAGTGATACCTATGCTTCCTCCTGTCACCTCACCCCACCCCAAAGGGTAGCAAAGCAAGGTTATTCTCTCTCTTTGACAGATGAGAAAACTGAAGCCCCAGGGGCATGAGTGTATGAGTGGCAGTCCCAGGGCCTGACCCGAGGCCCAGGGGTCCTCCCAGGAGCCTGCCCATCCCACGAGAGTGAAGTCTTCATGTGCAAACAAAACCAAGACAAGCAAGGCCTGCAGAGGGCACATCTGGGGAGGTGCTGGGGGGAGGCAACATGTATGTCCAGAGCCCCAGCCAGGGACCTCTGTTCTTTTTTTTTTTTTTAAGATTTTATTTATTTATTCATGAGAGACACAGAGAGAGAGGCAGACACAGGCACAGGGACCTCTGTTCTTTTTTTTAAATTTTTATTTATTTATGATAGTCACAGAGAGAGAGAGGGGGGCAGAGACACAGGCAGAGGGAGAAGCGGGCTCCATGCACCGGGAGCCCGATGTGGGACTCGATCCCGGGTCTCCAGGATTGCGCCCTGGGCCAAAGGCAGGCGCCAAACCGCTGTGCCACCCAGGGATCCCTTTTTTTTTTTTCTTTTTAAGATTTTATTTATTTATTCATGAGAGACACAGAGAGAGAGGCAGAGATACAGGCAGAGGGAGAAGCAGGCTCCATGCAGGGAGCCCCATGCGGGACTCGATCCCAGGTTTCCAGGATCACGCCCTGGGCTGAAGTCAGCACTAAACCACTGAGCCACCCGGGCTGCCCAGGGACCTCTGTTCTGTCATAGACCATTCAAATGGTTTGGTTCAAATGGTCAACCTCCCAGATGCATTGTGTTCACTCTAGACCTTCCAGGCCACTCCCTCCACGTGGAACACTTACTCCCTCCCTCCGCCTGGCTAATTCCTGCTCACATGCTAGGTCTGGCTGCTGAGCACTCAGTAATTCAGCAACTGTTTCCTGAGCACCTACAACAAGGCAGACACTGTCCAAAGTGAGCTGTTCATAGTGAGCAAAAAGAGAATTGTCCTTTCTGGGAGTTTCTAGTCCCCAAGGAATCACACAGAGCTGACATGAAATAGTTGGGACAGACTTGCAGCTATAACAAGCAGCTCCAAATCAGAGGCTCCACACAACCAAGACCTATTTTGCAGCCACTTCACAGTCCAGATGGGAGACAAGAGGCTCTGCTTTGGGGTCATCACTATCCACTAGCCTCAAAGCCCCCTTAGACCCTTTGCACCGGGTGGGCCTGTGAGTGAGGAGGGAAGCATTGAGGGCTGGACAGGGAGGCTTAGTGGCTGGGTCTGGAAGGGCAACATATGCCACTTCCATTCATATTCTACTTGCAAGAGCTTGGCCACACAGCCATACTGGGTTGCAAGGAAGTCTGGGAAATGTTGCCTAGCCATCTGGCCAGTCTCTGCCAAGTAGAATCACACAAACACACTGTTTTAGTTTCCTGGGGGTCCTGTACCAATTCCCCAAATCCTGTGGCTTAAAGCAACAGGAATTTATTGGTGTTGGAGGCCAGAAGTCTGAGATTGGGATGCTTGAGGGTCCAGGGGAGAATCCTTCCTGACTATCGGTGGCTACTGGTAGCTGGGTACAACCTTGGCTTGTGGTCACTTCAATCCACTCTCTGCCTCCCCCTTCACATGGCCTCGTCCTCTACGTCTTTTCCTTTGTGCATCTTTCTAAGGAAGCTTCATGTTGGAGTTAGGCCCCTCCCACCCAGATTATACAAGATGATCACCTCATCCCAAAATCCTTAGTTTAATTGTATCTGCAAAGATCTTTTTTCTGTATCAGGAAAAATTCACAGGTTCTGGGGATTAGAATACAGACATACCTATTTAGGGGACACTTTAGAGGCAGGATCACCTGGACTCCTCTACATGGCAGCTGGCTTCTAAGAGGCCAGAAACAGAAGCTGGAAGGCTTCTCAAGGCCCAAACTTAGAAGACCCAGAACATTATTTCCACTGCATTCAGTTAGTCCAAGCAGGTCACAGGGCCCACCTCAAGGGGAGGGAAAATAAAATACTTCTCTGGGTGGGAGGTGTGGCAAAGATACAACACAAGAGGGCGTGAACCATAGGATGGAGGGCTGAGGCCACCTTTGGAAGCAACCTATCAGAGTGTATGCATGATTTGTTGAAGGCCTCTGCCAAGGGCCCCAGATATGTGCTCCTTGATGATGGAGTTGCCGGTAAGGCTGAGGTAGAACTGTTCTGCCTGAGTGGGAGCCCCCAGACCGTTGAACTGTAGGCCCACCCAGCCATCAGCTTACTGGGTGACCTTGGGCCAGTGTCTCATTCACTCAACAACAGCTTATTGAGTACCTAGTATGGGCTGGGTTCTGAACCAGGCACTGGGGTCCTGGTGGTGAGCAGGCCAGATCTCCATGGAACCTTCTGTCTTGTGGATGACAAAAGCTACTAATTGAACAAACTGGTCACAGAGCATGGTGAGTAAGAGAACAGCAAAGAGGGGATCCCTGGGTGGCTCAGCGGTTTCGCGCCTGCCTTTGGCCCAGGGCGCGATCCTGGAGTCCCGGGATCGAGTCTTGCGTCGGGCTCCCGGCTTAGAGCCTGCTTCTCCCTCTGCCTGTGTCTCTGCCTCTCTCTCTCTCTCTATGTCTATCATAAATAAATAAAAATAAATCTTAAAAAAAAAAAGAGAGAACAGCAAAGAGTTGGGCTAGAAAATCCTGGGGGACACAGAGGCTTCCAGGAGCCTCAAGGGCTGAGACCTAGAGGGTGATGAGGACACCTTTACATTCTGGGCCTCAGTTTCCTCTTCCAGACATCCAGAGGGTAGGCAGGAGCTGTAGACTCAGATTGTGCTTCCTGGAGCCTGGAGTTCCCCAGAGACACCCAAAAGGCTACTGCAGAAGGCAGCAGAGCAGTGGGCATCTAAAGTTTGTGACTAGTTGGGCTGGAAGCTTCTGGTCAGCTCCCAGAGTCCAGCTTCCAAGCCAGGAGCCCAGGTCTCTGATCCCAGTGTCTCTCTGGGACATGATTTACCCAGGACCCTCCTTGTTCCCCAATAGTCCTGCCAGGGTTCTGGGCTCTGCGGAAACAGGGAACCTCCCTTCTGTCTGGTTGAACTCTCGGGTCTCCCCATCATCCCAGGACAGACCTTACACTAGGATGCTTGTAGCTGCCCTCTCACCTTTGACCTTCAGTCTGCTTGAGCCATGAGAGCCCTGGGGACCCCACAAGAAATGCCAGTGCCTCTCAAAATGCTCAGGTTTTTTGGGGTAAGACCCTCCCTTCTGTGTGGCCTTGGATGAGCCTGTGCTCTTTCTGGGCCTCATGAAGGTGAGCACAAAGGCAAAGTGGGTCCCCCAAAGCTGACTGGAGGTCAGCACAGGAGGAGGTGGCAATCCTCCATGGAGTGAGGTCAAGAGAAGTGGCAAGAAGGAACCAGCCTCCTGGGGACCCATGGGTGACCTGCCTATGGTGCCCCTGCTCCACCATTCTGGCAAATTCTGAGCCAAGCTTTCCCCTGTTAGACGAGTTAATCACTAGGCAAATTGTTGACATCAGCTCAGCATTTTTATTCCTGTGTTCAGCCCCAAGGTTGGGAACTGGGTGGGGGTGGGGCTGGAGGTGCCAAAAACAAGAATTCTTTCCTTGCTCTGGGCTTCAGTTTCCACCTCTGTCACACAGGGAGGGAAAGCTTCCCTTGCTTCCTTCATTGGGACACTGTGAGGATACAAGTGAGCATATCCAGGTCTGGGCATTTCAGCTACAGGGCTCTAGTACCGATGACTGCCCTGACTGTCCTTGCCCTTGGGGAGCTCACTGTCAGGGAGGGAGACCCAAGCCTTGCCTACCATTAGCTGCTGGCAGGCAGGGGATGGCAGGGGTAGGGTGTGGGCAGGCAAAGAGCCTCTCAGCCATAGGTCTGGCTTCACTGAGCTCTGTCCTGGAAGTTCATGACTGGTCTTGTGTGGGGTCAGGGGTATCGATATCCCTATTTCTAGGCAGGTTTCTAAGGCCTTCATACATGTCACTGTCCAGGGGTGCCTCCACGCCCACAGGGCAGAATCCACCAAGAAACAGCTGAGCCCCCTTCTTCTTGCCCTTCTGAGGTCTTTGTTGAGAGCCAGTCTTGGAGTGGAGGGCCAGGGCCAAGGGGTGAGCTGGTGGCAGAGGCCTTGGTGCACCGTGTAAGGAAGGCAGGAGCAGTCCACGGCAGAAGGGTCCAGAGGGCCAGGAAGATGTAGGTCAATAGACATGGCCATCTGACCTGGGTGCAGCAAGGGCCAATACCACTTTCAATATCCTTAGCTGCTGGTGCCCAGAGAGGGCTGTGGGGAGGCTGGCTGGCTCAAGGTCACACTAGGGAAGCTGGAGACAAAGCTCTTCCACCTTCTCCTTATCTGTTGGAAGACAGAGGAGGGGGAGAATCAGGGTCCCTGTCTCACAGCTGCTTGGTAGGCTTCAGGTATTTTCCACCTACAGCCACCAGGTGGTGCTAGACCCCAGAGACAAGAGCTCTGCTCACTGGGAAATTTTTCTCCTAGAAGAAGGAGGCAAAAAAAAAAAAAGAAGAAGGAGGAGGCCGGGCCAGGAGTCAGCTGCTCCCACCAAGGGGGTCAGGATGCCCCCTTTGCTGGGTCAGAGGAACACAAGAGGCAACCCTGGGGAAGTTTTATTGGCTGATCTCCTTGCCTCTAGCAAAATCCACCCATCCAACATATTGCCCGATTAATCATTTTAAAACAGCTCTGACCACATCACTAGCCTGCTGTAAAACCTTCCAGGACTCCCCAGTGCCTGTGGGATAAATTCCAAATGCATTTAGGGCCCTCTGAAATATGATACCTGGACACCTCTCTTTCCAGCCTCACCTCCAGACAGCTCTGTTGTCTTCTTGGTCCTTGGCCTTATATGTTTCTACTTCTGAGCCTTTGCTACCTTGGATCCCTTTCTATGGAATCCCCACCCTCCCCCTGTAGTGCTCCTCCATCCAACAACCCTCAGCCAAACCTGTTGATACTGCTTCAGCCACCGCCGGCTGTCTCCTTGCTGGGCTTGGATCAGCTGCTCTGTGTCCTCCAGGCCCCCGGGCAGCCCCTCCTGACTGGGTGTGTCCAGCCTTTCTGGTCCTCTGTTTGAGGGCCTGGACTTCTCTTGCCCCTGTCTGAGGCTCAGCACCCGGCACAGTCGGCTCTCTAGAGGCTTCCCCCAGGGCTCCTGGAGCTTGCTGTAGGAGGACTGTGGCCCTCGCAAGGACTGGCTGCGTGGCCCTGGCCCCATGGTTCTTGAGGCTGCAAGCACAGGACTGCTACAGCCCTTCAGCAGGCCAGTGGCTTCTGAGATGGCCTGGAGTCTCCACCCACGTGATGGGAACTCACTTGGGGGCAAAGGTTGGTACTGCTGAGGTGGCCATCATAAACCAAAGAGCAGGCCACAGGGTTCAAGCATCTCTGAGTCAGTGTCACCACTGCCTCTCTTTGCCTTCTAGGGCAAGGGGTACAGGTCTCTTCCTCTTGCTCCTCCCCTCCTCCTCCTCCTTCTCCTCCTCTTCTAGGCAGCCTTCTCTGATCTCTCCACCCCTGAAGTGCTTGGTCCCCCCTGAACTCCTGCAGCCCTGGCTGTCCAAATTCATTCTGTTGATGCTGAGAACAGATGGCTCAACAGCAAAACAGAGATGTGCCTTTAAGAAACAGGATAGTTCTATTTTTTTTTCTTTTTTTTGTCTGACATCTTAGCGAGGCTGCCAGGGTGTCCACCAATCTCTGAGCTTCTCAATGCCTCCCAAGGATGACAAGAAGAGAGATGCCTGAGAGTCAGCCAAGAAAGACAAAGACCTGGTGAGCAAATCTGGGGGCAAGGCCCAAAAGAAGGGGCCCAAAGGCATGGTTGGGGGCATGCTCAATGTGTGACAGAGTGACATAGGACAAACTGTGAAGTTCTCAACTACAAGCATAGAACCCCAACTGTTGTCTCTGAGAGAAGATTCAAGGTCCCCTGGCCAGGGAAGCCCCCTCCCCAGGATCTCAGCAAAGGACTTATTAAACTGGCTTCAAAGCACAGACTCAAGTCATTTATACCAGCAACACCAAGGGTGGAAATGCCCCAGCTGCTGGCCAAGTTGCATGAACAGATCCTGCCAACTGTATGTCCTAAAAAAATAAGAAGTTTTATTAAAATTTTTAAATTAAATTTAAAAAGAAAAAAAAATTTAAAAAGAAAGAAAGAAACCGGACAGCTCCAACATAGAATAGAAGAGTCAAAATCACAGAAACAGAAAGTAGCCCCGTGATTGCCAGGGGCAGGGGTGGGGAATGGCCAGTACAATGGCTATAGAGCTTCAGTCTGGCAAGATGAAAAAGTCCTGGGGGCACCTGGGTGGCTCAGTGGTCGAGTGTCTGCCTTTGGCTCAGGGCCTGATCCCAGGGTTCTGGGATCAGATTCTGCATCAGGCTCCTCAGAGGGAGCCGGCTTCTCCCTCTGCCTGTGTCTCTGCCTCTCTCTGTGTGTCTCTCATGAATAAATAAAGAATATCTTTAAAAAGAAAAGAAAAGAAAAAATCCTGGAGACTGTTTGAACAACACTGTGAATATATGTAACCCTACCTAATTATACATTAAAATGGCTAAATGGTAAATGTTATGTTTCTAGCTATTTGACTGCAACTGGAAATTATTCACTAGCCTAGATGAATCCCTTTCCCTTCCTGCTCCATCTTGTCAGCTCCAAAATGGGGTGCTGTGAAAACCCAATGAAATCATGAATGTGTAAAAGCCAGACTACCAGCAGCAGCTCTTTCTCCCAAGACAAGAGAAAGAGAGAGGCACTTGGGCTGGACCAACAGGTACCCAGAATCATATAATTTGAGGGCTGAAAGGGACCTCACACATCTGGCCATTCTTTTTTAACTACTATTTTATGGGTATTTTTCCTCATTCTGGGGCTAACCCCTGCCCCTGCTGCCCCCCAGCACTGCATTTCAACCTCATGATAGTCCTGAGGTTAACATTGTTATTCCCATTTCAAGGATCAAGAAACAGAGGCTGAGAGATGAAGCACCTGGCCCGAGAACACATTCAGTAAGAGGCAAACCTGGGACTCACTCCTCAGTCAGCCTGGCCTTAGATCCCATGCTTCAACCACTCTACTGCCCTGCTCCGGTATTGGTGGTTGACATAGGACCCAGAGCCAGGAGTCTTCCTTTATTTTTGGGCTGCTGCACAAATCCCCCGTCTGGAGTCAGGGAAGTGCTGCCTGCAACTCTTGGCTCGTCCCAGACCTCTCCCCAGGCCTGGCCTTGCTCTGTTTCCTCTCTCATGGTTGCTAGGCCTTCCCTGGGCAAAGGGTCTTGTGATACCCTCCAGTCTCATCTCCCAGCCAGAGGAACTAAGGCAGGGCCAGAGCAAAGAAGAGAAAGGAGAAGGAGGGCCTGATCTCCTGCCCCAGTCTGTCCCAAAGTTGGACTGTGACCTGCACACAAGCCTCTTTACTCCCAGCCTGACCACACCTCTAATGTCTGACCCACAGGGCAGCCCTGGTTCTGGCTGAAAGGCAGCAAAGCCATTCTGTAACCTTCACCACCCTCACCCAGTTTGAGTGGGCTCAAACCCCTGCTCTTGCTGAAGCCTGTGCCAGGAACAATTTGCTGACTCAGACTTCTGGGACATGCTGGGGTGAATCACTCATGCTTGTGTCAAGCATAGAGCTGCCCAATACCCTCCTGCCAAGTGTGTAATCCTACCATTTCCCAAATCCATGGAGGGCAAGAAGCAGATGTATGCCCTCCTTCCTTCCCTGGGAAGCTCTTGCCTTTCCAGACACTGCTGTGCTCAGTGATACCTCCTCTGGAAGCCTGCCTCTCCCCCCTGCAAGGGTTAGGGAGGCAGCCCCTCCCCAGCCCACTCAATAAACACAGTAGCAGCAACCACATACATATGCCTTTCCCCCTGATACTGGGTGTCCCTTGAAGGCTTTTCATCTCTGTGTTCTCAGGACACAATGCAGTAAATATTTTGTCCTAAATATTGGAGACTATTAATTATCTATTGTTGCCTTAAAAAATTACCCCCAAACTTAGTGACTAAAAGCAACATTCATGTACCACCTCCTGGTTTCCAAGGGGCAGGAATCCAGGGCTGGCCCAATCAGGAACCTGCAACCATCTCAAGGGTCAGCTGGGGGGAATCTACTTCCAAGGTCACTCTGGGTTGTTAGCAGGACTCAGTTCCTTGTAGATGGAGGGCCTGAGGGTCTAAGAGCTTCAGTTTCCTTGTTGATTTTTGGCTGTTGCCATATGGGTCTCATCCAAGAAGCAGCTCACATCATGGTGGCTGGCTTCAATTGGAGCCGGCAAATGAGAGGGCAAAGATGGTAGGCAGGCAGAAGCCAGAGTCTTTGGGGAGCTCAGTCTCAGAAGCGACCTCCCATCACTTTTGTCAGTGTTCTGTCCCTCCTAAGTGAGTCACCAGGTCCAGTCCGCCCTCCAGGGAGGAATCCTCACAGTGTTTGAACACCAGGAGGGGGGATCACTGGGGGTCATCATGGAGGTGCTTACCCACCTGAATTTTATTATTTTAAAAAATTCATTATTTATTATTAAAGAAAAGATTTATTTATTTGAGAGAGAGACAGAGAGAGAGATCATGTGCACTCACAAACCAGCACGAGCAGGGGGAGGGGCAAAGGGAGAAGGAGAGAAATCCCCCAAGTTTAGACTCCCTGCTGAGCATGGAGCCAGACTAAGGGCTGGATCCCAAGACCCTGAGATCACAATCTGAGCTGAAATGAAGAGACAGATGCTGGACCAACTGAGCCACCTAAGGGCCCCAGATCTGTATTTTAAGCCTTCGCAGTGTCTGAGTTTGGAGCCTGGCACTTCTGTGTGCTAGCTCTGTACTTTGAGTAAGTGGCTTAACCTCGTGTGCCTATAATTTCTCAGCTACAAAGTGGGGGAAAATACCTTATTTAATCAAACCTAAGGTGGTGTTGATGGAAAGGTAGCATTAATTCATACACCATTAAGAAAGAATACGCAAGGTGTCTGGGTAGCTTAGTGGGTTAAGTGTCTGCCTAAGGCTCAGGTCATGATCTTTCCCCCACCCTGCCTTGTGCTCTTTCTCTCTCTCAAATAAATAAATAAATAAATAAATAAAATCTTAAAAAAAAAGGAAAAAGAAAAAAAGAAAGAATACTCACTGCTCATTCATTGGAAAATGCAGTCCATTTCAGAGAGGTTAAAATGGGGGAAAATAATGTGCCGTGAAATTAATGAAACACTTGGTATCTCTTTCCTGAAGTGGGTTCCGGGACTTAGAGATACGGGAAGGCTGCGAATGGAGGCAGGCCATCCAGATATTCCTTTTTATTAGTGAGCCAATGAAATTAATCCACATCTACACACTGCAGGCAAGACTCTTTTTGATGATGCCTAGAGTAAGGCCAAGGAGAACAGGGTAGAATCATTGTCCTGGGAAAAGGAGGGATTCTCATATACATAAAGGAAGGCACCTTAAAACAGACGCCAAGTGCTGAGAGTGCAGGAAAGAGAATGGGAGACAACATCTGGTTTGGGGATAGGGAAAATCTCTTTGCTTGAGCAGCAGTTATTATACAGTACATTTTGGGGAACTAGTTTTTTTTACTTTGGAATAATAGTACCAGATGTGTCCACTGTTTTGGTTTTCACTTCCCTCCAGGAAGCCAGAATGCAAGCTATCAGGTTCAATGCCCGACTTTGGCCGCATTATCGCTTGGAGAAATCAAACAAAGGGAATGAAAAATTATTATAATATTGATTTTTTTTATTTTTTTAATGATAGTCACACACACAGAGAGAGAGAGAGGCAGAGACAAAGGCAGAGGGAGAAGCAGGCTCCATGCACCGGGAGCCCGACGTGGGATTCGATCCCAGGTCTCCAGGATTGCGCCCTGGGCTAAAGGCAGGCGCCAAACCGCTGCGCCACCCAGGGATCCCTATAATATTGATTATAAAAGCTCCCATGGGACACCTGGGTGGCTCAGTTGTTGAGCGCCTCCCTTCGGCTCAGGGCATGATCCTGGAGTCCCGATATCGAGTCCGCTTTGGGCTCCCTGCAGGGAGCCTGCTTCTCCCTCTGCCTATGTCTCTGCCTCTCTCTGTGTCTCTCATGAATAAACAAATAAAATCTTAAAAAAAAAAAAAAGCTCCCATGTTCTGAGCACCTGTTTTGTGCCAGGTATTGCGCTTAGGGCTTCTTTTATGTGGTCCCAAGAAACCAGGGGAGGATTATTTCTACATTACATACAAAACAATTGGGATGGGGACGCCTGAGTGGCTCAGTGGTTGAGTGTCTGCCTTTGACTCAGGGCATGATCCCAGGGTCCTGGGATCAAGTCTCGCATCAGGCTCCCTGCAAGGAGCTTGCTTCTCCCTCTGC